CGCGATTGTCAGAGCCGTGTGAGGCCGGGCTGGGTGGGGGTGGCAGCCGCTGGGGCATCTGGGTTCGAATCTTTCCGTTTCTAGCCAGGTGGTGGGTGGGCCTGGGACGAGATCCCGCGGCGACGTTGGGGGCAGAAAGGAGATTCTGAGGCATTGGTGGCGGTGGTGATGGCTCAGGGTCCACGACCGCTTGTCCTGAATGGTAGTGAGCACCCTGTCCCCAGAGGAATTCAAGCAGATAAGGGACCGCAGGGCGGTGGATCATTCCTCTCCTGTCCTTTGAAAGGCTCAGTTTTTCGAGCACGGGGTGGCTGGGATTAGGCCTGAGGGTGGCGTCCCGACCCGCGCCAACTCTTCCCCTCCTCCCCTGGGGGGAGACCCTGCTACCCCCTCCCAGCCTGGTCGACCCGCCTGTGGCAGCTTCCGGCCCCCTCCAATTGGCTGCGGGGGCTGATGACGTCAGTGGTTGCCATGGCGAACACCCGCATCGCGACGTGGGCAGTCTGGAGCCCACCCAGGTAAAAATAGCCATATGTCCCCAGCGCTGGCCGCCCCAGTGTGTGTGCTGGGGGGGTCCCTGAGACTCAACTTCCCGGTGTGCCTCCGCGGAGATGTGGGCAGCGGCTTCTCTCAGAGCCTCGGTTTCCCAGTCTGTAACCCGCCAGTAGCGGGTGCCGAATAGTAGGTGCATTATTGTCTGGAACCCTCCTGATGTTAACCCCAAGTTACAGATGGAGAAACTGAGGCAGGCAATCCCCAGTCACTTGCAGGGTCAGGAGGAACGGATACTACAGCCGGAATGCAGGTTGGAGGGTCCCCACATTCGGAATTTGTGCTACACGGACTTTCAGAATTCCTCTCAGGCCGGCTGCGGCTGATCATGGACCCCAAGCCCAGGGCTCTCTGCCCTGTGTGTGCAAAGGCACCAGGGATCCGCACAGGCAGTGTGCTTGGCTCTACAAGGGCCTGCAAAAGGGAGGCCAGCCAGGCACAGTGGTGCAAGCCTGTACCCAGCACTCTGGAGGCTGAGGCAGGAGGATCACCATGAGTTCAAAGCCAGCCTGCGCTCCATGGTGAGTTGAAGGCAAGCTTGTACCTACACAGCGAGACCCTTTCTCAAGAAAGAAAGAAAGAAAGAAAGAAAGAAAGAAAGAAAGAAAGAAAGAAAGAAAGAAAAAGAAAGAAAGAAAGAAAAAGAAAGAAAGAAAGAAAGAAAGAAAGAAAGAAAGAAAGAAAGAAAGAAAGAAAGAAAGAAAGAAAAAAACTGCAGGAAACGCTTTTTTGCTTTCAAAAAAGAGAGCTGAGTGTGCCGGGGATATAGTTCGATTGCACAGCACCTGACTGGCAAGCAGTTCAGTTCCCGGTACCAAACAGAAACAAATACCAAAAAACAACAAAGGGAGCTGAGACGGGAGCCCCCAGCTCTTCCCAGTGAGGTACATGAGCGCATGGCTTTTAGGTCTTGCCCAGCAGGGATATCTGAGAGGGAGGACAGCGAGACAGCCTGGGGTAGCTATGTAGTTCTGGCTAGCCTTGAATTCCCAGGCTGGCCTTGAACTCACTATGATCCTCCTGCCTCAGCCTCCTGAGTGCTGGGATTACAGGTGTGTGCCACCACACCTGACCTGATATTCCTCTTGCTCAATAGAATTCGTTTTTCCAGGTGTGGTGGCACACACCTGTAATCCCAGCACTCGGGGGCTGAGGCAGGAGGATCCCTGTGAGTTTGAGATCAGCCTGGGTTACATAGTGAGTTCAAGGTCACGCTGAACTACATAGGGAGACCCTGTCTCAAAGAAAAAAACAATAGAATTGAGGGCTGGGGATATAACTTAGCAGCACAAGCAGGATAAGCACCTGCCTGGCAAGTGCAAGGTCCTGAGTTTGATTTGTGGTACAAAAAAAAAAAAAAAAAAAAACAGAATAAATTTCCTCTTATTTATTTATTTACTTATTTATTTTGTCCTTCTGAGACAATGTCTCACTATGCAGTTCAAGCTGGCCTTGAGCTCACTTTGTAGCCTGGGCTGGTCTTGAACTCGAAAAGATGCTCCTGCTTCAGCCTCCTCCCATCGCAGTACTAACCAGGCCCAACCCTGCTTAGCTTCTGAGACCAGACGAGATCGGGCACGTTCAGGGTGGTATGGCCATAGACTGCTTCAGCCTCCTGCGTGCTGGGAGTACAGGTGTGTGCCACCATGCCTGGCTATATTTATATTTTTTCTTGTGGTATTGGTGATTGAACCCATCCACAGCCCTTTTATGTTTTATTTTGAGACAGGGTCTTAGTCACTAAATCGCCCAGGGTGAACTCAAATTTTGCCTCAGCCTCCCGGAGTGCTGGGATTACAGGCCTGCACCACCACACCCAGCATGGATCCATTTATTTTAATAAAAATAAACCGGGTGTGGTGTCACATGCCTGTGATCCCAACACTCAGGAAGCTGAGGCAGGAGGATTGACGTGAGTTCAAGGCGAGCCCAGAATACATACAGAGATCCTGTCTCAGAAAACATACATATTAAGAAAGGAAGGAAGGAAGAGAGAGAGGGAGAGAAAGAAGGAAGGAAGAAAAAAAGAAAGAAAAGAGAGAGACAGAGAGAGAGAAAGAAAGTTAACTTGCTGGACAGGGGGAAAGACTGGAGTCCGGGAGAAGGGTGCAGAGGTGAGACGCGAGCTGTGAGCTGCCGTTCTCGGGCAGGAGGGGAGGACCAGCGGTGCAGAGGCCTGGGGAAGGGGGCCTCTGTGGGTTGATTGGGGGCGTGATGGGTCGAAGGTCAGGGCGCAGAGGGCCTGACTTCCGGGAATGATGCTAGTCTCCCTTCTGTTTCAGAAGGAGTTGAGCCTGCCGCGCCGGGGCCGAAGGTGAGTTCCCCAGGGGCTGAGGGCTTGCGGGGCTTCGGTGCTGGCTGCGGGTGGCGAACTTAATACTCTGTTTCTCACCTGATCCTCCCTGGTATTCGCCGAGCGCTTCACAAGCGTCTCCCTTGGGTGTCACCAACAGCCTGGGAAACCCCTGTCAGTATGCAAATATATGCAAATGAGGAACCCGAGACGTAGAGGCGTTGCTCCCAGGGTTTAAGGGCACCAGCGTGGAGTGAGAGATGATCCTTGCACCCGCAAGTCCCCTGGTTCCGGCTTGGATGCCTCCTGAGACAGGGGGCTCACTACTTTTCAGGGAACAGGAGGAGAAAATAGTCTTGCTCTGACTCATACGGGCATTCCTGCGGGCTGGCATTTTCCGGCCTCCGAGTAGCAGAGCATTCGTGCACTGTCTTCCCCGTTTGCAGGTGGGGGACACCAAAGCCCAGGCGGGGAGGGGTTCGTGTCCTGCCCTGCGCTGGCTGGTAGTCTGGAAGTATGTGCATGTGGACACCCCATGTTTGCGGGGTGCGTTTTCCTGAGGGCGGGGGGCTTGGGGTCCGCAAACACGGAGCACCGACTGTGTTCTGGGGCCTGTTTGAGGCGCGGGGGACCCAGAGTCAAGTCAGGGAGCTCGCACTCCAGGAGGAGGGGCAGGGGAGTGAGGGGGAAATTCAGCAGAGGGGGACAGAGGGGGCTGGGTGCTTCGCCAGGGATGTGGGGCCCTTGGGCGTGTGGGTCTGCAGGGGAGAGGCGCCGCGGCGGGGGGTGCGATGGCGGGCAGGGGCACGGCGCGAGCGCAAAGGTGCCGCTGTGGCAGCGGAGACCAGCGTGGATCTGGGGGCTCAGGGCCGCGGGCAAAGCAGGTGGACAGAAGGGCGGGGCTCCGAGCAGGAGGCCGAGTGGCCCCCACGCCCGGCCATCTGCTCCTGCTGGCCTGGGGCTGGCCAGCTGGTGAGGCGGGGCTCGGACATTACCCTGGCCTTTGCCCAGGCTGGGGGCAGGGTGGTGGCCAGCAGTCAACCTCATGGGACAAAGTCCGGGGCCCCAGGGCCGGATCAGCCGAGACTCCCTGAGGAGTCGCCCCTCCCTCCCGCGGCCCCCTCCCTCCCGGGCTGCCCGGCTGTCTGGCTGGGACCACCGTGCCTTCAAGGGGCCAGAGGGGGACGCAGACCCCCCCAGATCTGTGGCGGAGAAGGGGGGCAGGGGCTGGGGACCCGGGGACCCCGGGAGGCGGGGGTGGTGGGGCGGACTGGGACGTGGCACAGGGACACGTTCCTGCGGAGGCCCAGCGCGGCGGGGGCCTCGGGCCCGGGG